TCAATGATTTGAATAGTGGTATGTATAATACATTGTAAGATAGTGATATGTGTCAATGATTTGATTCGTGATATGTATATAATGGTGTGAATCTTTGCTCAAAAGGTTTACTAGTGACCGTGGTAAATAACATTTTTAAAACAATAAACAAAATAATRCGAACGAAACATAATGGCAATGGGTTCTAAACCACAACTGTGAGCAAGGTCCAGTTYATATGTTAAATCATAAAATTTTTGATAAATGTGTCTCTGTCTCCTGATATAAACACGGTGGGAGTTGAAAAGCACTCGAGAAGCAAGAGMAACTCTCGCTACGCTCGTGTTTCTAAGCTTGCTTCTCTCGTGTTTTTCAACTCCCACCGTGTTTATATCATGATCAGAGGACAGAGACACGCGCGGCGTTTTATATTTCTTAAATATACTATATGTATTTAAAAGTGAGAATGAAGCCATGCTTTTGGTAATTACTGATAACTTTGAGCATTACTCTTCATGTTACTCTTAGTGACTGTTTACGTGAATGTCTAATTATGAGAAACTGTATCTCATATCGAATTTAATTACATGTATTTTTAGAACTACAATACTATTCGATCTGTTTATGTTATATTTGTTTAAGTACTCGACCCGACAAGGTCAATATTGTTACCTTCTATTGTTGTTGAGCTATATACTAATTTGATCGATACATACAATTTGTGTGTTCTCTTATCTTTACCATATGAATGTGATTACGYAGCTCGCGATAAATCTGACATCCCTAAACAACAACAAAATTTAAACCTATTTGTTACCTTATTCGTACTAATTTTCGCGTGTACATGATTTCTAGAAATCGGAAAAGTCATTTGTCGCGGGCATTRATTATGAATTTTGTGAAGGGAAGTTCTTTTTCTCTACCGTTGTTTCTATCGAACGTGTCGTGCGCTCAAAGTCATCTTTAACTTGAATACCCCAATAGCCCGAGGCAGACCTTCCGGGTATGTCCGGGGTGTGTACTCTAAGCTTGCAACCGTCTGAGATCACATCACATTACATACACTGTGTAAGTAAAATCAGACTAAGCATCCGGTAAACGAATACTCGTTCTCCATAGTATTGATGTCAATGTCATCAAATACATTTGGAGCTCTTGCCGATGACAAAGGCATTGTTTTAAAATGGTTGCTTAAAGCCTATATAATCTGGGATATACATTCACTGTATTCCAAATTGTATATAACAAAGGCGATATAATGATGATATGAAACGAAAGATCATATGGATTTAATTAGATAACTATCGTCGTATCCTCCAGCAGTGGAATTTGACTATCCAAAATTCAAACTTTGAGCGTATAATTTGGATATACAATTACCAGTGACAAGCTTTCAAAACTCGAAAAAAATACTCCCTATTCTTGAGAATCCCACAAAAGTAAAATTAGCCTCTTTAAGTATTCAACCATGCATGTTCAAAGWTGAACACGAATATGGCGAGACTAAGTTGTTTCGATGATTAAATCATTATGCTCATTCCCAGTCCTTTCATTATGCTCATTCCCAGTCCTTTTTTTTTCGTTTAGACYAGGTTCTTTTTTTAATACTCGAAAATTAAATTGGGGTCGCTTTACAACAATTGCATGMACTTAGTCTGGATATTCAATGYGGTGAGTACGTCGCTGCAACATTTYAAGGGTTTAAATAGAGATCATCTTCCTTTCTTTCTTTCTCACTTTAATTTATTATGAAATGGGGATCGCATTACAACAATTGTTTGAACTTAGTCTGGATATTCAATGAGACGAGTACAGGTCGTTACAGGATTGCAAAAAGTTCAAATAGAGATCCTCTTCCTTTTTTTTATATTCGATAATGAAATTTGGGTGGCATTACAACAATTGCTTGAACTTGGTCTGGATATTAAATGCGACGAGTAGGTCATTACAGCATTGCAAGGGTTCAAATAGAGATCCTCTTTCTTTCTTTTTTTTTATACTCCATGAGGGAATGGGGGTCGCATTACAACAATTGCTTGAACTTGTCTGGATATTCAATGCGACGAGTAGGTCGTTACAGCATTGCAAAAGCTCAAATACAGATCCTCTTTCAAGCAAGGATCATTATGGCTTTATACACCCTTTTAATAGGTCCCAAGGTATTGTTTTCTCCGCACTTGACGTCAAATTCATTCTTTTGAAATTTTTACAATACAAAAGGAATTCAAAAGAATAAATTTGACGTCAAGTGCGGAGAACGTAATACCTCRGGACTTATTAAAAGGGTATATAGAAATGAAAGAAAGTTAGAGTGCTTAGAAGGAGGCAATTCCGGGAGAAAGACCTTAGGAATAAATTCGGAAAAATTAATTTCCGACCTCGCTGGGATTCGAACCCACGACCTTCGGATTTGTACTACCGATGKCCAGACTGGGAGCAGGGGTGAAATAGGTGTTGGGTTGCGGTAATAGAATAATGTAATRATGCATAGAATAATAGAATAATGCATATTCATTATGCCTTTGTTTGGCAGTATAACAAGGTCACCGGATGACTCAAAATTCCGTTAGTTTCCGAAATAGGAATTAAGAAGAGTTGATCCGAATTAGCAATATTAATTGCGCTATCTAATAATCGTATTAGGCTAAAAGAAGGATTATCGGTTTTATTACCCTTGTATTTTATCTAAGGGTGGTAAAACTTCCTAACGCGATTTAGCATACAGCTACAACACGCGTGCGTATACATGCACTGCATTTATTTTTAAATAAGAAATGTTCACCCAGGAGCTAGTTATCTGTATGGAAGACGATTTGTTTACCTTAATTTAAAGCTCATTAACAGGCTATTGTACTAACACTTGCTTTGGCTGCATATTCCTCATATATTTAACATGAAATATGTATCAAAACTTTCCAATATCTGTTAGAAACATAGTGAATGAACTCTGCTTTGTTTTCAGATAATTTAAATATCTTTTGTTATCTTTTATAGCACCTCCATGCATCTCTTGTTCTTTTCTCTAAAACATCACTTGCCTTGCTTTCATCGTCTGTTTCTCGTACCGTGCCTAAATTGGCATTTATTCGTTGATATATGTGAACAGAGATCGTGTTTCTCGATCTACATCAATTTGAGTTATTCCAGAGGKGTCCTGGGGGTCATATTCTCCATCAACAAGTTTCCTTCCCTCCAATTAACATACAAATTACCCAGACGCTTTTTGGTTCTTTGGAGTGAAAAGYCTTCATAAGTKTTAAGTCAGASAGCTAGTCTTCTTACCAACCACTTCAGTGAACACGTCGCACTTCAGAAGATACATGTCTATATGCTTAGGTCGAACATCTTGTACACATCTCCCTAGAGTATAACATGGATAGGGTAGCTATTTGATCAATGTTCAACCACTCAGAGTTTAACATAATTATATAGCTTATATATAGTTGAATTATAGCGCATGTTCAGATTTGGGAAACCAAACACAACCAAAACGTCTATCATTGACCTCTACTTGTGCAACAAGATTCCCTTGCAGCTCAATTAAAGGAGACTGAAAGGTAAGAAATTTGCATGGAGGGTTTGTGCGTGATCGTGCGGCTGCGAGAATCTTGAAAAAGATGATTTACTTGATAATTCGACATCCACCGTTTTTTGAAGCAGCGAGTCTCAGAGCATTATCAAAATTACATATTATGGGTTTAGTGTATTGGGATTGTTTCTTTTGATCTCCCCGTTTAGCATTTGTTGGGAAACGTATGTTATATCCGCACATTGGCTATTTATATGAAGCAGGAAACATGTCCCGGTGTTGACTGCCAACTGATTCCTGTTCTTTCCCCTGGTGGTACTCATACAATTAAGCAGCAAAAAATAATAATAAAAGAACGTCCTGATCATACAGTCAAGTTCGATTCAAATAACCAGACTCAAATAACAAGCCAGCAAATRAGTGCTCGCATTCCTCAGTGTTTCTGTTTCAGTATTAGTTTCAGTGATCTTCTCTTCATAGTAAGTCCGTTTCCCATCCCTGCCTCAACCACAAACGAAAAAAAAAAAGGAAAAAGAAAAAAAAAAGAAGATCGAATGTAGTAAAGAGACAAAATCTTTACACAATCTTTTTAGATATCAAAATACTTTTATGCTGTGGCCGGATAGCTCATCTAACGTTTGTAAGACTCACGTTTTCTGTGGAAAGAGTCTACGCGCGATATACAACGCATGATTCTATGACGTCATACATTTCAATTTCCAGAAAGGTTTGCTTCTCTCAGCTATTAGTAAATCTCAAATGTTTGTTGTAGCAAGAAGAAATCATATATATGCACATGATAACACAAAAACATAAAGAAAAGACGAATGAGAAACAGAATATACTAAAATAGAAGCAAACTGATAGTTTGTAATGAATCTGTTCGCTTGAGGAAATTCCTTTGTTGGCTGAGAGTCTCCATTGCCCTATCTCAGCGGGAGCGTGCATGCATGCACATGCAAAATCGCTTCTCTCGTAATTTGGCGAGTGAAATTACGCAATTTTTTGCTATTTTGCCAGCACGAAATATTATAAACTTAATGCGTATCATGACCTGAATCATCGCCTCCATACATGTCTCGCAATAAAGAAATCTTAAATTACATTATTATATGTATGAAGCATTTACAGTCAATTGAAGAAATTCTGGCCGCTAACTTTATATCATTATATAGAGTTGTTCGTATTTCAAATTGATAAATTTTGTTTTAATAAAACAACAGATTAGGTAAACATAATTTCAGAGTATTCGAATGATTTGTAATCTGTTTTAGCGAAAAAAGAGCAAAAATCAAATAGCATTACCCATGATGCAACCGATGTAATGATATATGTTAGAATTTTTGCAAATAACTGTAATAATGATATAATAATAATAATGATATGCATCAAGAATCATCATATCAACATGAAATACATATCCTGAGCTTTTAGCCCTTATTCCATTCTTAGGTAAAGCAACTGGCGGTCGCCCATCCCGTTCGCAATAATTATAGCACGAACGTAACAGCAGCAGTCGCTCATTGCTATATCAAATCTTTGATGGTCTAAATGTATAATTACAAGCTGAAGTGAATCAATACTTTGTGAATGGTTTCTCTTAAATAAGCAATCAAACTTTTTTTGCAAAAGGCTTAGAGATGGATTTTTGAGTAGGAGATGTAAGAATAGTCTTTGGGCATTGATTAGCATGCACACGTCCAATAGTGTTGATCGTCTTTTCGAAAAGATGGGAGGACATTGTGTCAAAATTGTACATACTGTACATTCTTTGTAGTTTGCAATGTCAATAGTTATTCTTCTTAACAATATTGTTTGCAAAGTCAACATGAAAATAACTGGTTTATACACCTATAGGACTGTTTATTAACATTGTTGACTGCCTCTTGCTGTTGCTAGAGCTGTCAGCTGCATGCTGGTAATTCAGGTTCAGTTTGTCCAAGAGGCGGCTTGGAGTTTTTGCGAGAAACGTGACAACTGAGTGCAAAAACAGTCACGAAGAATAATACAAAATTATAAAAGAAAGATTAACATTTGAAAAACATCTTTGCCCAATTTAGCATTTTATTCACAAAGACAATTGATTATAACAATTTATTTTCATTAGGCAATTGTAGTAGAGTAAACGGCCAACCAGGAGCCAATAAGAAACGACAATAACAACTTAGCGCTATAGTAAAGTAAACAAAAGCAGGCTTTGGTCAATAATAAGGGCAGTCTATCAAATCCACTTATTACTACCTTATGAAGATTTTATCTTTTGTCAAATTTACACCTCGTTATTATATTTGCTTTTCGCTTTAGAGCGTGAAGTTAAATGCTAATGTCAAGGCCAGATCTGCAGTGTTTCGATAAAAAGTTTATAAAGTCTTAAGAGCCAGTCCGTCATCCACAGTAACCACGTGTATAAATAGGCTACTGAATTTGTAATGCAAATTGTGCCAATTCTTAGGTAAGTAAACAACATCTTTTAAGTTGAAGGATTAGTGAACACGAAGAAGGACAATTGGCCCTACAAAAGTATTTGCCTTCTCTTTGTTTGAACTCAACTGATTTACTGTCTTTTTATAGCTTGCCATAAATAAGTGTTGAAGACCAACTATACCTAAAACATCACCAATATTGTATATATCATATACACGAAAGAAGTCTACTAGCATCAAGTCTGCACATTACGTGGAGTTTATCGAGGGCTTGTTAAAGCWATGTCATGCCAGCAGCGTGAGTTCTTGATAGAGATCAAACCAATTTAAAACACATTAGCGCAAAAGGGTCGTCAAGAATTTGTCACTGCTTGAGTTGGGAATGCACTGCTTAATCCTTCTTGAGTCTCGCTGCATACATTGCTAAGGAGACACACTACAGAGCAACGGAATGGATGACATTCTTAAAGCAAGCAAAACGTAATAGAAAAGATGTGAAGCGTGAAGCTGTTGTATTGGCCTATTAGACCAACGTTTAAGCTCCTGAACTCAAGTATTTGTGTAAAACAGTTGTCGATAAGATCTACAATGCGGTGGTTGCGATTTTTTACTTCTTGGACGTTTATCCTGGGATGGACATGGCTTTTTCGTGTTGTGAATGGTGACCTAGTTATAATACGTAAAGTCAACAAAAAAGACAACTACCACAAGGACAGATTCAACATACGACGATCAAAATGCATAGACATTAGGCAAGGGAATAAGTGTGGATTTTACGGAGGATTTGAACGTTCTCCTAATAATCCTTGCAAATGTCACTGTCCTCCTAGAAGAGGGACGATTATTAAGAGAAATAAACGATGGAGGTGTACAAGTAATGAAGTCTTCAGGCAACGAGAAGGTAAGTTCTCGCTACTGGCTAATTTTGTATATATCATTTAGCAATTAATAAGTGTTTAAAATTTGTAAACATAAGATGATATGTGATATAAATTATAAGTCAATTGACCGAGCGTTTTTATTTTCATTATTAAAGATGTTTTGAATAGTTAATCAAGAGCTCCTAGTGATCGCCTGTTGTCTGTCACAAAGAGAATGAATAAAAAGTACAGTATACTCCGCGTGTCAGTTCCTTCCCCCACAACATGAGGCATGCACTGATAGTGTTGACAATATATATCAGTCGGTGCTGTTACTCTCTAAGATTAGATATCTTAAATTCGTCGACCTGGCTATAGTATATCAAACAAATATAATACTCTATTATATGATTTATAAGACTTATCACTCAAACCGGATGCCTCAAAAATAAACATATAAAATCTTGCAGACGAGAGCGATTGATTTTTTTTATTCTGAATCAATATTTATACAGTGGAATTAGTGTAGCAGCTTTTTTTAGAGGAGTTGGTTTAACTGGCAGTATATAGCTACATAAACATATATGCATCCACATCGATGGAAAAATAAGAATGAAGTAGAAATTATAATAAAAAAAAATCAGAATTACTAGTTTGAAAATAGTATCTAAATGGACTGAACATTGCCTATTTATTCTTCGGGGAGTRCTTTTTGAAGGAGCCTTATATAGCATTATTTAAGCATCTTTAACGTCCTTTATTTCCTGCGGAAGGTACACTGATTTTTCGCAATGAAAGAAATACATCTCTTCTTCTTGCAGGAGATGTTTGTGAGATGCAGACAAGATTAATTTTTACAAGCTCATTAGATCAGAAGTGYGTTTATCTGCATGATTATGCATTTCAAATGGTCTCGGCTGGACGGCTTTGTTAGCAATGCAATGCAATGTTTGCATGCAGCTACATCGTAGCCTTAAAAAAATAATCKATAACTTCATAAAAATGAATTCAAATGTCAAGRTTAATTTATTAYGATAATTKCACGAGATGGCTTTATAAAGAGGTTTTACAATAAGATTTTGATCGTTACGTTCTTAATATGATTATCATTTCAAGTGAGTGCACACGTTTCAGGACTGCTCTTTCAGATTGGGAACAATTTGGGAAGGTCGAAATGAACAAACGTAACCTGGCCAAAWAACATTCTTACCGACTTCTAGCGAATAATAATAATAATGTACTTTAACCAAAAAGAAAACATTTTGAGCGTTTGATCTGATGAATTATGACAACCAACGAAATCTTGAAGTCACCTATTTAAACGTTTTGTSATGTATTTACATGTAAGTGGAGTCGCCCTGGCKAACGGAGAATGATTCCCCTTAGTAAATGCGTGGGAGTAATCGCGGTGGTCAGTTRCTAATTTTGAACTTTGTGAATTTAATTGATACTTATTTTATAACGGCATGTTCGACGTAAAAACTAACCTAAAGGTCAAGTGTATGCGAGAAATGTAGAGTATGAAGTCCTTTTAAAGATGAACTCCTAATAGCAATATCCTAATCAGGATATATTCATAATTTTATCTCGATATGATTAGGCTGATGGAATGAATTGAGTAGCAACTCTGGTGGTCGCTCAAAACAGGAATATACAATATARCAGTATTTTTTTCTAACAATCTGATTTACAAGTACAATCACAGCATGGATAGCATAGGTGAACAATTGTACAGTGTACGACTGTAACGGACTGTTTCAGTATGGATACGATCCAAGACAAAGAAGCACTTTTTTGGGGGTCCAAGGTATCTCGTGGGTATTTTGATCGTCTTATCATATTCTGCAGGGTGACATGAATCGTTGAGTATCACTGACGGAGGGAAATAATCTAGGATTAGTACTTTAAATGATGAGTTTAGCCCTATGATTGCGGCTGCCTTTGTAAAATCATTGATAATACGGCAAGGTTAAGGTTAAGGCAGTATAGGGGATTTATAAAATAACTACATCGAAACGTGGTGTGGATTCGGTACAAATACACTTTGTTCATCAAGGAAAAAAGCTAAATGGGATTTAATATTTGTTCTCAAGACCAGAATGCACCATGATTTTCATGTGTATTTCAGAAAATGTCTATAAATCGTTGATGCGCTGACTAATAAAATGGACTTTTTKAACCCGTGCACGCGGTAAAGTGCATACTTTGAACTTAGCGATTCGGGTTTTAAAAGACCTTGGAAAAATGAAGATTTTCAGCAAATTTGAATATTATTCAAATTTCATTTCGTTGTATGCGTCCGAACTTCGGAACAAGTAAAAAAAGCCACAAATAAGATGGGAATAGCCATTGCTACTGCCGTCATTTGCTGCAATTTAATGTTTTCACAGCCTCATCAACCTTTTCTTCTGTAATCTGCAGAATCTTACGTGTATCTTCAAACTATTCAATACTTACATGAAACTGAAGTGTACATAATATAGTATTTTCACTTCAAGTTCGGATCAAATGAAAATGTGCTAATAAGTCAGCCATCTTGGCATTTAATCAAAAGTGACTGGGAATATGTACAGGGTGCGAAATTCAAAAACAAAAGACAGTTTCTCGATATGTTTATGATTTTTTTTTCCAGGTTGCGGAATTTATTTGTTGTACGAGTCTTCAGACTCTTTTGTAAAAATCCTGAGTGGCACGAAATGGCAGTCTTTCCATGCAGCTACTTCAGGATGCAACGTGAAGCGAAAAAAATCAAGTTATCTATCCTGCAATGGCTCTTGGACAATAGATCCRTATATGGGCAAATTTGTGGAYTTTTTAAGAAAAGGATTTGATCAGGTTGCCAGGGGATACGCTTACCAAATACGAGTAAGTATTCCATTAAACAGAAACGAAAATAAACATCAGAAAGATTAGTCAAGAAATAGATATAATTAAGAAATAGTCATAGCTGGTTTGATCAATAACTTAGAGATGGATTAATAACAATCGCTTATAAACAAAACTGTCAAGAGACAAAGACGTATACAAAAAATACTAAACCAATAAGCATTGTGAGTTCAGTTTTGTAAATATTCTATCTTTAATATATATAACAGCATGACTAAAGAATTTAAACTTAGCTCACTTGTTGAGTCGAAGGAAAAGTATTACTTTATCAGGAATCAATAGTACTAATTGCTGGATATTCGGTGGTTTTCTGGTATTGTTGTCGATATAAGTGGCATGGCTTGCAACTGGTGCATTCAAAACAATAAAAACGTAAACTTTAACAGGACTCACGATATCTAGTATTCCATGATATCTAATAATATCAGTAAATCTCCTGCAAATATTTTTCCTCAGTTGTTTAGCAATCACTAAAAGCKTTAAAAGYAAAARTCAAACATAAATAACTCTATATAARCAATTATTTGGCAATTGAAGACAAAGGAATTATCATAAATAAGTAGAATTTAGAAAAATAAAATCAAGCAGCAACACGAATCCAAATAAAAAATACCTGGGCGGGATACCTGTGTCTCATGATGTTATAGATGGACACAGACAAACGCTTTATTATATGATCTTGAAGTAAAGCACGAAAAAACGTTAGACACCGTTATTCTTAATGCTACAAACCTGGTAAAGTTATTTTCGATAAAATCATATCTTTTAGATAAGAAGAAGTCCAATTTTGGAGGGAAAACTTATTAAACTACATTTAAAATGCTCTMCATTTGGTGGTAATCCATGCCTACTAGTCAAAATGAAAGGAAAACAAAACTGTAAGTAAAAAATATAAAATTGATAATATAGATGATTATAAATGAAATATGGATAGCATGAAAATATGAAAGAAAAAATTCCTCACATAACTCCTGGGTAAATTTAGCCATGTAACAACTAGTGGAGATTAGGCACTAGCTTTCAAGATTGAAGCAAATCATAAGATAGTCACACCGTTCATTCTGTGAAGATTCAAGATAATACTTGGGTATTTTTGTGTTCAGCCGCCTTCTTTACGATCTTGAAACTTCAAAGAGAAAGGGGAAAAACATGCTGGACCACCCCTCACACTTCTATTGAAACCCAGCACACTCCCTTTCTCTGCTCGAAYGATATGCAATGATGAAATGAACACTTATTAAGAATTTATATATTTTTTATTCATTAAAGGTTATAAAAGGAAAAAATCGATCAATCGAATTCAACTCAGAAAGAACTTCAAAAAGAATGCTCATCTTTTCTTGCTGCCATCGCTGACTTCAACATCGAATCCACTATTTGTCTCAACACATGATTTTACAAACTTGACACAAAAAGTTTCTGGTCAACTCGAGAGTAATCTGACAGAAACGCAGGTGAGTCATCTTCAGCGTTAGTGAGAATKGTGACTGGTAAAGCGCCCTGAACCTACAGTGGCTATTTTATTTTATTTCATGGTTTCAGCTTAAGCATGGACACATATGAATCAATGATAAATTGTTCTTAATTTAATAATAGTAAATAATCTATATGTGATATTTCTAAAACTCATGAATTAATCATTAGACATTCTTCCAATGACCATTCAACTATGGGTCACATGACAGGATCTATAACTCAAGTTATAAACACTGATTAATTAAACATGAGTTTTATAACTAACCGGTCCAGTTAGTTATAACACTCATGCATAAAACATCAGTGTTGTAACTGATTTACAGAAACTCGATGTGTGCCCAACACTAGAAAAGTTCTCAGTTTTAGATTCTCATTATAGAATTTTACTAGGTCTCGAGTTAAAATTACTTATTTGCAGAGTCACAGTACACTAAAACATAGTGGTGCTTGGATGTGGGAAACCAAGTTGATTACTGCTCATGCTCAGATGGAGATATCTTCATCAATTATTCATTTTTGATATYTTTTTATTTATTTCATGTTTATTGTAGTTTCTTAGGTTTGGGTTTTAGAAGTCATTTAAAAAACTCGTAGTTCGTGTTTTATCGTGGATATAAACACTCGGCCTTCGGCCTCGTGTTTATATCTCACAATAAAACACTCCCACTCGTTTTTTGGAAGCTTTTAGATGCAAGCTCATATAGATATATGAATAATGTTCGTGCGTGCAGGCTTGAAAATATCAGTTTCAAGCTAAAAGTAATCAAGTCCCTTATTCATTATCTTTTTGAATCCAACTGCAGGGAGGTTCATTAAGAACAGAAGACATCGAAGTAACGACGACTATATTAACAATAACAGCTGCCTTGCTGGGCCTTATAGTATTGGGACTCGCAGTCAATTTATTTTGCAGTTCGGCAAGACAAGAGTAAGTTGAAAGATCAGTTCTTGATGCATACTTTCACTGTTAGCAAGGGTCGTTTACCCTATTTACGTATTGTGTGTTTTAACGGRGTGCATCGTGGAATTGATAAGAGTGGCGGATGACTTACAAAATCTTCGAAAGATTAGGATAAAGTTTCTTTCCAAATTATTATCCCATAMACCCGTTTTCTGCATTGTAATTGGTGCGTGGGGCTGTGTGTCTCATATTTTATTAACACTGCGCGGAAATCAAGGTGARCCCGGTATATAAGGCATAGCCCTTGTTATTAACCCAATGCAATACCTGGATCTAGGAATAAATGAAAACGCCTTGCTCAATGTTCTTTAAAGATTTCTCGACAGGATTAAGGATAACGTTAAGTTCGTAAAGAAACTTGGTTAGTAAGCTTTACAGAAGACGTCTGGCATCTTGATCCTTTTTTCAATACTCTGATGCACTTCGGATCGAGAACAGTCTGGCAAAACATCATAGCGGGGCGGGGGGGAGGGGGGGGGGGGGGAACTATGTTGTCGCATACATTATATATGCTGTTGTTATGGTTTGAAACATAGTTAATGCATTTTTACGTTATGCAGAACATTTAAAGAAAAGCATATCTTCCGGCGAAAAAAACATCATCGCATTTTAGGTATGATATATTTGATAGTCATRATAGTATAATTTCATTTAAATGTTTTGCACGATCTCTCAATATCACCTTTGATTCTTGGCGTGACTTATGACGATTCATTGTTACATGAAATTTTAAGGCTGATTTACACGGCACGATTGTCTCGTGCGATTTGTAGTATACGACTTGAATCGCGCAGTGTAAATGCCCCTACGACTTGTCTACAACAGTCGTACGCAACCTACGACTTGTAGTAGGATTTTGAACCACTGCTTAAAATCCTACGACTTGTAGTAGGAAAATCGTATACTACAAGTCGTACGCGACAAATCGTACCGTGTAAATCAGCCTTTATAAACGTGCTTTGAGCTTTTAAAGACGTAATACACATAAAATGTACGATTGTGTAGAACTTACTAAAGGCAATCAAATATCCAAAGTAAATAMAAAATGCTCAGTTTAATCAATCATTTAATTAATCAATGAGTAATAATTAAATTGATTTGATTTGTTTTTTTTTTTAGGTCCTCACAGACTGCGAACCTCTTCTGACGTCACATCATCATCGCATTCAATATCCCACAATGTGGAGGTGTCATCACAAAAATCTGAAAGATTTTCCGTTTCTACTTTGTATGAAACAGACCATTATGACTCTAAACATGCTATTTCTGCTAATATTGCGCATGGAGGTGTTTCGTGAAAAGACACAATAACGGAATTGTATTTCCGTGACTACATCGACAAGGCATCCGGGACTTGMACATTTCCTAATATGGTGAAATTTCAGCAAAAGTCCTTTGTAGATATACTATATCATACTTTGCAATGATATAAAAGGACTGCAAATGCAGCAAATAGTTTTAGGATATAAACCAACAATAGACAATGTGCAGTGAAGCCATTTTGTGCAGCAAAGCATAATGGTAGTTGACGTAGTCCTCGTGGTTTTCATAGCACCTAAAATATCTCCTTAAAAGACATTTTTAACTTCGAATTAGACGACACAACTTTTGCCTATAACCATCGCATGTATCATGCACACGTCATCCTTACAACTGGGAGGGCTACAACTGTCGTGGGGCTATTAAGCAATCGTTTTAAATCTCTACAACATTTGTAGTCTTTACAGTTTCTCTTCAGGAACGTCACAAGTCACAAATACGTATAAAAAAACGTTAAAAACAGGTTAGGACCGACGACTATTTCAGTCGCGGACATAAAAAAGTGCGAAGACTATAACTTCCATCATGCTTTGCTACACAAAATGGCGTCACTACACATTGCCTATTAATTATATCCTTTATTCGATAGCTGATCACATGAATTACCAAAAACATATACTCGCGGTTTTAGAGTCGTTTATTTGGTAGAACGAATTATCATCGATTTCATAAGGATCAGGAACATTGTTATATATCACAATACATATCATAAGACACTAAATAGTGCTAAGGCAACCCTCGAACAATCATCGATTCTATATCGAACGAATATRTATATCGTTTGGTAGAAAATAATAGGAAATCATTCTCCAAAGGAAAACGCTGCTTGTTTGGTCTGGTATGTTGACGGCTGCGATCAATGGGATGAATATCTACACGACTACATATACACCTTCTTGTACACATTTTGTCATAGTGATGTTGGCAAATTATGTATGTAGTTGCGAATGGTTAATTGGTAACTTTGTCTCTAAATGATTTTTTTTTTTCAGTTTTAATCATCAAATTCATTAATCTATCGTTTGATTCAAAGTACATTTTTAAGTGGTTTATATCAAAGAATTGACTACGAAAAGTTGCCCTTCGTTTACGTGCCATAAATGGTAATYTTAMCTTATTCGGAAGTACGTGTGGGCTTTGAAAGCTTGAAATTGCCCCAAACTTGCAGACATCATAGCGAAAACACTTCTGAAAAATCAGCCATGTTTTTTTTTCTATATATATCATAYATTTGCTAGAGGAAGCCCAAAATTAAAATGCACAAGGACGCCGCGCGAATGATAAACTATTTTTGACTGTTAGAGGCTTCTTTTTGCTAAAATTTAGTTTAAAAACGCTTCAAAATGAGTTGGTTTCCACACTGTCGCAAAGTCCACGGATATAATGCAAACACATCAGAGTTTGCAACAAAATTCGCTGGAATCTTTCCTCGCCTTGGTTTTTCTCATTTAGGGAAACCTTTTGTTGTTGATGTCAGAAGTACATAACCAGAAGTGTCCATCTCGCTCAGAATATCTCCACCATCAGATGTCCAGATAATCTATTTTTAGAAAACTAATCGCAACGCGCGCACATATTACACGGYACCTGATTGGTCCTTGTTGATCTACTTCAAGAGCGGACAAGAAAAAGGAAAATGTAGTTGATGGAGGYGAACGAAGTGAAGTTTTCATTACAGGAATTTTACAACTTTTGCTGAACAACCATTTCTGWATTTAATAGAAAACATTCTTTACTATATGAGCAATGTAGCGAAGGAAGTTCAAGAGCAATATGGTCTGCGAAAAGAAGGGAAAAGTTCAGACAAAGACGAAGAAAAATGTAAAACAGCGTGCTAAGAAAAGTAGTGTAAAGTAGTTTCCTTACAGTCAAATAGAGCTGGACTTAAACAAAGCCAAAGGTAAAGTAATTTTCGACTGTTAACGTGAGATGGAAAAGCTGTAAATTTTCAGGTAGGCGGGGTTTGTTTTCAAATTCAAGTTACWTMTATCGATATTTCTTTGACSACTTTTCTTGTTTGTGGCTTTTCATAACTTATCTTGTTTATTGTTAACTTAAACTTCGACATTATTTCGTTATTACTCTCTGTACCTTTTCGCTAGTTTGTTTATTCCTCGCTTTTTCTTTCAAAGWACAATCATTTTTCAACTCCTTACACAATGAAGAGTTTACAATATAATGTGAACTTAATTTGAACATCATTTTGCTAAAAAAAGGTTTGTTGACTTTTTGTGACACTTTTCGCACTCGTCTAATTATTCGGGCATCGTTTTGTATTAGTTTTCCCCTTTTTATAAAGCTATTTAGATCCTAAAATACCTTTACTACAATTCTATATATAGTCTAAGGGCTTTTTAATTCTATTAGAACAGATTTCTTATTAAAACGAGTACAAAATCATTCAATCACACAARAAATCACATCTTTTTCAGCTTTGTCTGAACTTTTCCCTTGTTTTCGCAGACCATATTGCTCTTGAACTACCTTCGCTACATTGCTCATATAGTAAAGAATGTTTTCTACCAAATTCTGAAAGTTGTTTCGAAAAAGTTGTAAAATTCTCGTAATGCAGGCTTTACTTCGTTCGCCTCTCCATCGACTACATTTTCCTTTTCATGTCCGCTCTTGAAGTAGATCAACAAGGACCAATCAGGTGCCGTGTAATATGTGCGCGCGTTGTGATTGGTTGTCTAAAAATAGATTATCGGGACATCTGATGGTGGCGATACCAATG